CGGCTGTGCGACTCGGTGTGGTACGGCCGGCTCTGTGTGGGTGCGGTGCGACTCGGCAATTGGTGCCTCCGGCTGTGTGTAACGGCTGTGCGACTCGGTGTGGTACGGCCAGATATGTTGGTGCTGTCAACTCGGCGTGGTGCCTCCGGCTGTGTATAACGGCTGTGCGACTCGGTGTGGCACGGCCAGATCTGTTGGTGCTGTGCAACTCGGCGTGGTGCCTCCGGCTGTGTATAACGGCTGTGCGACTCGGTGTGGCACGGCCAGATCTGTTGGTGCTGTGTGACTCGGCATGGTGCCTCCGGCTGTGTGTAACGGCTGTGCGACTCACTGTGCGACTCGGCATTGGGTAACGGCTGTGCGTCTCGATATTGTACCACCAGCTGTGAGTAACGGCCACCCGTAAGCGAAACTTATAATATTTAGTGAAAATGCTTATTCGATTTTTCTCAGCAATGCAACTTAAGTGCATCCGTCCTGAGCGCCCTAGCAGGGCAGCGGAGCCGATGTAATTTCGGTGACTACTGACTCCTGACTTCTAGTTCCAAAAACTAATTCCGACTCCTCAGGGCTGCGGAGTCTGAGTCGGAGTCGGAGTCGGTCGGAGTCGACAGTTGTGACCGGAGTCGGAGTCGGAATCGATTTTAGAAACCCGAGCCGGAGTCGGAGTCGGAGTCACCGAAAATCTGTCGACTCCGCAGCCCTGCTAGCTCTGCGGAGTCGGAGTCGGTCGGAGCCGACAATTCTGCCCGGAGTCGGAGTCGGAATCGCAGCTGGTTTTTGAAAGCCGGAGTCGGAGTCGGAGTCACCGAAAATCCATCGACTCCGCAGCCCTGCGACTCCTACTCCGGGCAGAACTGTCTATTCTGACCGATTCCGACTCAGACTCCGGGCAGCCCTGCAGCTCCGCAGTCTGCGGAACCGATGAATTTTTGGTGACTTCGACTCTGACTCCGGCTCCGGCTTCCAAAAACGACTCCGACTCCGATTCCGGCTCCAGTTCGACTCCGATCAAAGTCCGGTCCCAACTCCATAACCCTGCGCCCTGGGACCCATACAAGCCTCGCTGGTTTCGGCCCGCTTTTCCTGGACGTGACCTTATATCACTATTACTCACTTAAAAATGCGACATATTTTCAATTTCTAGTGCGAAAAGTGCTCGCGATAGCTTTTTGGGCGTTATAACACGAAAAAATGCCACCGGAAAGTTCGTAGCAATGCTCTATACATAGGCCGGCCGCGGCGGGAGCACCCCAGTGACGTCATCCGGGGCCGGTAGGGGGAACGTAAAAAATTCCCTAATGAACCTACCTGGTATATAGGGCCTTGAGTGTCCAGTATAACGCCTTTTGGGGCGACTAACGGAGCGAGCGAAAGGGTGGGCCTTGCACGTGCGAAATTTCGAGGGGGTACCTCCAACTGACTTGTGCACGGTACCTTACTAACCGGTCTCTAGCGATGTGTCAAATTTGAGCACAATCCGAGATCTGGAAGCGACACCCTGCACGTGCGCACGTGCAAAATGGGTCCCAACTCCCAACTGACTTGTGCACGACACACTAGTAACTGGTCCCTAACCGTGTAACAAATTTGAGCGCCATCGGTCCAGCCGTTCTCGAGATCTGGAAACGACCCCTGCACGTGCGCACGTGCAGCAGCACCCCAACTCTAGCACATGGATATGCAGTGCCTAGTGGGTGCCTACCTACATGCCAACTTTCACCGCAATCGGCCAAGTAGTTACCGAGATATTGCAACAATTACAAAACTGACATCTCTTCGTTTTGCACGTGGCACGTGCATAAAGGGTCACCCACATGCATCGGGAATAGTTCAATACTTGGTAGAAGGAATGAAGCTACCCTACAAAAATTACCGCGTGTAAATCGGTCAAGTGGTTGCTGAGATATAAGTCTCGCAAAAGCGTCCGCACTCCGCACGGCCGGCCGCTCATACTCAGAAATTTCCGTTAATCTAAGGAAAGGAACGGTATTAACGGTACATAAGGAAAGACTCCGCTCGCTTCACTCGCTCCGTAATGACTAGGCTGAAACAGACTCTTTCCGCAGTCAGGAAATCGCATGCGAGAGCCTATTCAAATAAATGGAAGCACGCTCGCATCAATCGCACGCACCTCCCGGATGCGATTGATGCGGGAAGAATTATAATGTATTTGAATAGGCTCTCGCATGTGATTCCCTGAACGCGGAAAGAGTCTGTTTCAGCCTTAAAGGGACTATCCCACCTTTAACATGGGGTTTGAGTTGAGATAGCCAAGTTTGCGGCGAGGTTCAGAAACCACTATCTATCTAGGTTGCAACCCCCGCGGCCTCTTGGTGTTGAAGAAATTCGTTCCCTTCATTTGAAAATGAGCCTTGCGCAAGGCCCTATCTTCAACATGGAGCGACCGTTAGTGTGACGTCACCTCGTTTAGTCATTCTGATTTAAATGGGTTTGTTCGTTGAAAAATCGCTTAAAACTTGGTCTGAACTTTGTTGTGGTGCCTACAGAGTAAAAAGAATCAGCTTTATGACAGTAATGTGGCCTGGGGAAGGAGGTAATTTTGGGCTGTGACGTCACATATTTGAAGGTTTGTGTTTGGAATATGGGAAGCCTAAGATGTTTAATGAAAAATAAATGCCAGAACCGTGTTCCTGGTCATCCAATCTATAAAGTCGGGGACAATTTAACTGGTTTTAACAACATTTTAGAAGGTGGGATAGTTCCTTTAAGACTAAACTAAAGGGGCTTATATATGAAAGACACCATTGGAGTCTGGACGCAGCTCGGTCTATATATGGCATAATCATGGATTTTTAGGTGCAAGCTGGGTCCTGGGATCCTTTTTGCTCTAAACACCGACAAACGCCGGGCCTTCAGCCGAATGCGTTCCGTGTCTGTCCGACGTCCGGCCCGAGGATGGTATTGCGGCAAAAAATGAACCTCGATTCTGTCTACTGTGATGTTACGCTCAGAGCTTTCAATTGCCCGTTTCCGTTTTGATTTACTTTCTGGCCAATAAGGCATCATCACCTGCCCGTTTGCGAAAACATCAGATTAAACACAGCTTATCGCTTCGAGGGGACAGACATAGGGTAGACCGGGGCAAGTCGCCCCGCCGAGGTAAAACGCCTCACCGATGTTTCTCGGAACTGGCAGAGTTCTGGGGAAACATCCTCTCTTCTATAAAACGTGTACTATATGATCATTATATGAGCAGACTGGAAAGAAATTGTGATGACTCTTTCGGGAGATATAGCCAAAAATGTGTTTTTTGAGTGATTTTTATGTTTTGTTGTCATATTATGCATCATGGCGTTCTTTTATGGTCCACATCAGGCTCACGACTTTTATGTATTTTGAACAACTATTGTCTAACGCTTATCATGCCGGGTTGGTCCGTGTTAAATTATGTCTTGCTGGAGTGCAAGGCGTTGTTCTCTGACCGAACTACGTGATGGGGTAAAATGCCCCAGTAGGTCGCGGGGCAAAAAGCCCCATGGGGCGTTTTACCTCATGTGTTGTTCGGGCTACCCACTTTCTAATGTTCGGTAGCTGGCGAACAGTAAGTTTCTATGCCATTATGTGTATTTTTCTCAGCAACTGGATGGCAAAGGAAGTATTTTGTAAACATTTGCATTGCAATAATTTATTATTTGGTCTTATGAGGCAGGTGAAAAACCTGCTCATACAATAGTGTCATAGCTGAACACCTGACAGGATGGAATGTGCTAACTTCAGTGCCGTGCCTCCAGAGGTCTAACGGACCTCTCACACAAGATTTAGCCAACTACCATGTTAAATCTTTAATCTAAAGTATGAGGCTACTTGCCCCAGGCAGTGGGGCGTTTTGCCCTGGGGTTGGGGCAAAATGCCCCATTTGCAGTTGCTTCACAAATCACTTCCTAGCTTGGAGTCCGATCATAAGTGAATGAATTTGAGGGGTGCAATTTAAAGTAAAATGTCCAAAGAACGCATTGAGCACAAATTTGGCCTTCCAGCTAATGTAGGACAAAATTTATGTAGCAAAATAAATTATCTGGGGCGTCTTGCCCCAGGCTACCCTACCCTGAATGCCCTTCAGATTCAAATTATTTGCAAAGAATTATGCTAGAAAGTTTGTCATTATTATCATTGTTCTCTATCACTAGTTTTGTAGTACCAGAGTAACAAACAGATATGAGAATCCCAAATATTAGGCACCCATGTTCGGATCTCAGAGGTCAATCAAAAAGCTGGCTTGGAAATTTCTATACGTTAATCTTAGAGGTTACATCACCGACTGAAATATCTCTGTTTCTCTCTCTCTCTCTCTCTCTCTCTCTCTCTCTCTCTCTCTCTCTCTCTCTCTCTCTCTCTCTCTCTCTCTCTCTCTCTCTCTCTCTCTCTCTCTCTGTCTCTGTCTCTGTCTCTGTCTCTGTCTCTGTCTCTGTCTCTGTCTCTGTCTCTGTCTCTGTCTCTGTCTCTGTCTCTGTCTCTGTCTCTGTCTCTGTCTCTGTCTCTGTCTCTGTCTCTGTCTCTGTCTCTGTCTCTGTCTCTGTCTCTGTCTCTGTCTCTGTCTCTGTCTCTGTCTCTGTCTCTGTCTCTGTCTCTGTCTCTGTCTCTGTCTCTGTCTCTGTCTCTGTCTCTGTCTCTGTCTCTGTCTCTGTCTCTGTCTCTGTCTCTGTCTCTGTCTCTGTCTCTGTCTCTGTCTCTGTCTCTGTCTCTGTCTCTGTCTCTGTCTCTGTCTCTGTCTCTGTCTCTGTCTCTGTCTCTGTCTCTGTCTCTGTCTCTGTCTCTGTCTCTGTCTCTGTCTCTGTCTCTGTCTCTGTCTCTGTCTCTGTCTCTGTCTCTCTCTCTCTCTCTCTCTCTCTCTCTCTCTCTCTCTCTCTCTCTCTCTCTCTCTCTCTCTCTCTCTCTCTCTCTCTCTCTCTCTCTCTCTCTCTCTCTCGTGCTTATCGTGCAAGCATGCTTATTTGACCTGTTACACCCGTCACCCAGCATTTATTTGTTTCTCTCACATTCACCTGCCGTCGTCCACCGGGCGCCCTCTCCCGCCGCCGTCCGCCGTCCGCCGCCCTCCGTCCACCGTCCACCGTCCTCCGTCCACCGTCCGCCGACCACCGTCCACCGTCCACCGTCCACCGTCCGCCGTCCGCCGTCCGCCGTCCGCCGTCCGCCGTCCACTGTCCACCGTCCACCGTCCACCGTCCACCGTTCGTTTGAGGACCTCTAACACACGTAACACACCACCGCTCGCCGGGAGGCCCCCCGCTCGACTGTTGACTGTGTATACAGAGCGACTGAGGCAGGCCCGGTCCCACCCACTGTGTTCGACGCCACTGAGGCCGGCTCAGCCCACTGTGTTTGACGCAACTGAGGCCGGCTCGGCCCGGTTCACCGTGTTCGACAGCACTTGGCCGGCCCGGCCCACTGTGTTCTCTATACTGAGGTCCGGCCCGGCAACGAGTCAAGGTCAACAGACCAAGGCTGTGTGTGTCTTCAGGGAACACGCCTGAGAGTGACACAGGAGACACGATGCTATCCGGGCAGTGTTGGGCGCGCACGGCGCAACAACATCAACCGGAAATATCCGGAAACGGTAGGCGTATCGCACAGCAACGGCGACTATTTCTGATCTACGCGATCTCATCAAAGCTGGAGTGAATATCAAATGGGTTGAATGCCGGCGTTACACTAGGATACTGTGCGAATGTCTTTCAAAGAAATATTAGGATAAAACGCTCATTTGAGGTAGGTACAGGGACCCGCAGTTGCTTCTGTACACACTAGTATTTCAGCGTATTCTTTGCCTGTGACACCGTTGGAGGCGAATTGGGAAACACTGGCGGATCCAGGGGGGGGCCACGGGGGCCATGGCCCCCCCCCCAAAGGCCTAAAGTGGCCTGTTTGGCCCCCCCCCCAAAACGCCAGAAAAATTGCTAAGAAAATATACCTTGATGGAGGTTTTTAGCCACTTGGTGAAGTAAAGCTTTCCACAGCATAATATGGAAGCAATATAGTAGCAGTGAGGGTCAGTCAAAAGTTGCGCGAGCGGAGTCGACCTTAAAAAAAGACTGTTGTTGGCACGTGTTTATGGCGCGGCAGCTGGTAGTTGGCGGTGTTTCGCGTGGTGTGGCATCACTGGCGGATCTGGGGGGGGGGGGAGGAGGGGGGGGGGCACGGGAGCCTGAGGTGCCCCTGACAGGCCCGTGGTGCCCTTGCTAGGCCTGTGGTGCCCCTGGACCCTGGCAGGCCTGTGGTACAGTCCACAGCAGAAGTAATGTGGGGTTTCAGTCATGGGTATGTTCTGCTTCTGAAGCTTAGGAACGATTAGCCAGACTACATGAAACTTTGAATGTAGCTTATATGTATCGTCACCCTTGCAGCTGCAACTTTAGCTATTGACATCTTCTTTTCAATCACTTCGCATTAAACAATCGCCAGTCAAAGCCAACCGTTGAGTTTGGTAAAACCCTACATTACTTTAGCGGTGGGCTGTACCTCTGGCGGGCCTAGGGTGTCCCTGCTAGGCTGCTGATGCCCCTGGGACCTGACAGGACTGTGGTGCCCCTGACAAGCCTAAAGTGCCCCCAACAGGCCCGTGATGCCCCCGACAGGCCCAAGGTGCCCCCGCGTGATGCCGTGATGCCTGCGAGGCCGGTGGTGCCCCCTGCGAGGCCGGTGGGGCCCCTGACAGGCCCATGGTGCCCCTGCTAGACCGGTGGTGCCCCTGGCAGGCCTGTGGTGCCCCTGCTAGGTCGCTGGTGCCCCTGGGCCCTGACAGGACTGTGGTGCCCCTGACAGGCCCAAGGTGCCCCTGCAAGGCCGGTGGTGCCCCTGTAAGGCCTGTGGTACCCCTGCTAGGCCTCTGGTGTCCCTGACAGGCCCATGGTGCCCCTGCGAGGCCGGCGGCGCCCCTGGCAGGTCTCTGGTGTCCCTGACAGACCTGGGGTGCCCCTGACAAGCCTGTGGGGCCCCTCACAGGCCCGTGGTGCCCTTGCTAGGCCTGTGGTGTCCCTGGCGGGCTGGTGGTGCCCCTACTAGGCCGGTGGTGCCCCTGACAGGCCTGTGGTGCCCCCGGGCACCAAGGGGGTCATGACCCATGTGGCCCCCCTTGGATCTGCCACTGATGCATAATATATTGATTTGTAAAGGCGTTATGGCTTATGCAATATCCAATTGCAGGCACTTGGTATCCCTCACTTATCCCTCATTGGGGCTCTGGCGGGCTCCTGAGGGCCCACGTCTATCTCCGGGAGCCCATATAGACAGGCTCCTTTGGGTCCTTTCAGTACACTATAGCATAAGAGGTCTCCATGCGAGTCCTATACATACATCTGAGGGCGTACCCTGATGTCTGAGGTACCCAACTGCAGCTCCAATGGTCTCTTCTTACACTGGCGGATCCAGGGAGGGGGCATTTAGGGCCATGCCCCCTTCCCAAAGGCCTAAAGTGGCCCGTTTTCCCCCTCCCCCAAACGATAATGAAACATAGTTCAATCAGGGCGTGGCCCAGGACTAGGAGCCGAGTTAGACAGGGCTGTTTTACCACCTCCCGGCCCGCAAAGGGACCCAAGCACTGACTCGAAGCGGGTTAAAGAGACCCTCCCACCTTCAAAAAAGTTAATGAATTGGCATGAAAGTGATGTCGCTAGGTTCAGAAAGGGCGCAAACGAGTATCTACCAAATTTTATCGAAAAATATTCGCCGGTTTTCAAGAGATTAGACTTTTATTTTTGTTTACTTTTTGGGATATCCGCTGCTGTTCCTAGCGACTTTATTTGAAAGTGCGGCATTTGTTGCGCGCAAAGCAGCCTATACCACCGCATGCTACCAAACGTTTTAGTAAAATATTAAAAAATCATTAGATCTCCGCTGACGTCACACATTCAGAGGGGTATCCAAAAGCATTAGCCCCTCTGAATCAAAATGCTGCAATTTTGAAATTCAATATTTCCGATTTAAGGCATTTCTCGATGTTGTGAGTGCGTGCCGAAACCGGTAATTGTGAGCCAGGGACCCCATTTTGGCTATCTTAGCTCAAATCTAATGTTAAGGTGGGAGGGTCCCTTTAACTGGTCGATAAAAACAATGGTAAGTGTTTACAAAGTAATATAAAGGCATGGGTCGGGTGGGCTAACATTTATATATTTTTCTTTTTAGTTAAAAAAAATTCATAGTGTCAAGGCTGTGACGAAAAATAAGTGGCCTAAATCCGATGAGAAAACAGGATTTGGGGGTACCCTAGGTTTGGCTCCTGCATGAGTTGGCCCCCCCCCCAAAACGCAAGCCTGGATCCGCCAGTGTTGGGAAATGATTGTGTGCTTATTAAAACCACCATCTGAAGGGCTTTAAACTGATGTGCTGCTCTCCTAATTCAGTGAACTTTTTATGGCTATATCAGCAAAACATTGTTTTCAGCGCTTTTTCCTGCCCCATTCCTTCTGAAACCTGGAACCGCTTATTCCATTTACTCCTGCCATCTGACGATGGTCGTGCTGACTACTAGTTCCGGCGCTAGTTACTGCTCCAGTTTTGCACCCGGCACAAACTCAGGCGGCACCGGGCCGTGGCTCGACCATGGGGAGGGTCGGACCGAGCCGACTGCCTGGAGCGCGGTTAGATCGGACGCCCTGCTGGGGAAGGGGACGGGAGTGAGGGGGAGTGGAGGAGGTGGTCACGTGGTCCGTCCAAGCTCGCAGACGACCTGACCTGTCCTGCGCCCAGCCATGTTCCGTGATCCAAAATGGCACGAGAGCTGTGGAATGCCTGGAGGAGACGCTTCGAAAGCGAACTTCAGCAGCACTAATTTACCATATTCTGTGGAGATGAATTAATATTATCTTAATGCAGAAAAATTGTATGCCCAAGCTGTATAAGCTGTATCTTTTTAAAAGTTGTAAATATAAATATTTTAGGGACTTATAGGTTTCGTATACACAGTGAATTGTGTTACAATAAGCCGTTTCGCTGTTATGGTTACTAACTGAAGAGTTATCCTTTTTTCTCACAGGGAATGACAATACAATAACAATACGAATAAAACCAGACGTTTCGCACAAAAAAGTGCCTCCGTCAGTGGCAAGAAATAAGTAATTAGGCATACATGTTTTCTTTCGATAACATCGATGAAGTAGTTATCTTTATTTTTTTAAAGATATATCTTCAGCAGTTTTTTTAAGCACATCATGGAAGCTTATAAACATTTGTGTATTTTATCGGCAACCCAGCTGGCCAGACCGAGACGGTGCCGCATTTAGTTCTCATCGATGTTAAACTTATACACTCGTTTTTCTCCACTGACGAAGGCACGTTGTTGTCCGAAACGTTTGGTTTTATTCGCATTGTTTTTTATATTGTCATTGTCCGTGAGAAAAACATACTCATATGGACTGGTCTCAGTTCATATAGAAATTGTTGCACATTCATCAACACAGATAAAATGAATATTAGCCCTCACCACACATAGAAGTAGAGGTAAGTAGACCGCGCCCGCTGTTTTACACCAATAAATCGCGGCAAAGCGAAGGATTGCGACGATTTTTTGGTGCCCTGGAGTTAATCAATTTTACAACTTCCCGGAAAATTAAATAGACCTTATCATTTTTGCATCTTGTCTGAGAATTTTAAATCCCTGAACCAAATTACCTTTAACCTGTGATTATTTTTCTCAGGATCATGTCAGGGCAGAATAGCAATTGAAAGTCAGCGCACATGTTCTGTGTGTTTCCATAGTCGTTTCGTGATTAGCAACGTGACAACATGTGAAATATACTATCTAATGTTTGTCTCATTAATTGTTGTGGGTGCCAAGGTCACGTGAAACTCAGGTTAAGGTCATTTACTTGAAATGATCTCGGTTAACTTCCTTAACCCGCGAGTTGCTGGGGGGGGGGGGCGTTAAACGCCCCCACTTTTTTCGCCGGGCCATAGCATAAAAACGGCGCGCCGCAGGCGCGCCAAATTTTGGCTACCTGTAGGGAATTGATTGAAGTTTATTGTGACAAAGTTTCAAAACAATCGGTCGGAAAATTTTTGAGATATCGAGGTTTTAGTGGCGTCATGATTTCTGAGTTTTCGACCAAAAACGGCATATGTTCAAAAAATCATATAAAATCACAGAATAGACATACAGACATGCCGTAAACGCTATTAGACTGCCAATACCATGAACAATCAAATGGCTATCTTTGATTATTGATTATCGTTGCGCATTTTCCAAAATCTTGAACTGAATCTTGGCAATTTTTCGTGACTACTTCACGACCATGATACATGAAATTCTTAAATTGAACTTTTTGAGCCAAACACGTACACATATGATAAAATGAATGTCACCATCGTGTTCTACGCCCC